AGATAGATTTCTTATTAGCTTATATAAGTTATACAGAGAAGGATTTCTTTGTTATATTTCCACACGTTTACAATATATTCCAATCAATCTCTATCACTGTCCCTTCTCCCCTTCCCTCCTTTCCAAAGCAGTTTCAACAGGACTCCTTATTAAGTTTTCATTGTTGCAAAGAATTATGACATAATCCATGATCACTTATGAGGGAAAGTAAATTAATATCTGAAAGTCTCAAAGGAGCAGGGGGGTTGAGGAGTTAGCTCAGTGTGGAACATTTACTTTGTACCACAAAAAATGTAAAATATTTGAAAATTCGAGGTTATTTTCCACTAAAATCTGAAGTTATTAGTATTTTATATGGTACGTGGATAGGAAATATGCAAATCTTGTATATCAAGCAAGTGGGTGGCAAGACTCATTCTATTTGGCAAGCGGAGAAACTTGCCCATAATTCTTGGCTCAGAGAGTATGTACATCACTGAGTTCTGGGCCAGGGCCAGAACTTTTCCTAATAAACACTTTTGCCCCTCATTCTGATAACTGCAGATTTGTGTGACATTTGTCTTCCTAGCTTTCTACTTAGAAGGAAGAGATAAGGTTGACTTGGAAACATTTCAGAGCAGGTATATTCAATTTTGTCCCACAGTCATAGGAAAAGTCCCATAATAGTCCTGTGGAACATTTGATTCTGAGCAGCACCATTTCCTGACATGCTTGCCAGAATGTATTAGCTACAGAATGAACAGCCACCTGCACAACTTGACCTGCTGCATGGAGTTATTTAAATTCTGGTGACTGCCCAAAAGAGGCAGTCATCGACACTTGAGCCATTAGCTAGGAAGAACCATTGCTTACAGAGCCTTCCTATAATGAATACTATATCATCATTTGCTTTGGTTAAAATAAAAAAGGCGGCTTGTATTCCAGTCATCTGAAAGTGGCCTCCCCGACTAAAGAAGCATAGGTTAAGGAGCAGGGCTGATAAAGCATAGTCCTGTTTCATAACCCTTGAGATTGTTATTTGAGTTCACCACTTTTGGCACCCTTGGATTAAAAAAAAAGAGAGAGAGAAGGTACTCATTCATATTTTTTGCTTTCTCTTTTCCTTCTTTTATTCCATTCATTAATACTTCCAGACTGCTTGATGGTGCTATCCACATTCAACGAAGTTCGCTTTGAGGATCTGGGACCTCTACCAGGTATAGAAATGCATGCCCAGGGGCTGGGAAGGTGACTCAGTGGTAGAGTGCTTGCCTTGCAAGCCAGAGGCCCTGGGTTCGATTCCTCAGCACCACATGAGCAAAAAGCAAAAAACCGGAAGTGGCGCTGTGGCTCAAGTGGTAGAGCGCTAGCCTTGAGCTGAAGAGCTGAGGGACAGCGCCCAGGCCCAGAGTTCAGGCCTCATGACCGGACCCAAAAAAAAAAAAAAAAAAAAAGCATGCCCAGGGCTGGGATGGTGGCTCAATGGTAGAGCGCTGCCCGGACGCTGGTGGCTCACGCCTGTAATCCTAGCTACTCAGGAGGCTGAGATCTGAGGATCGCGGTTCAAAGCCAGCCCGGGCAGGAGAGACTGTGAGACTCCTATCTCCAATAAACCACCAGAAAACCGGAAGTGGCGCTGTAGCTCAAGTGGTAGAGGGCTCACCTTGAGCTGAAGAGCTGAGGGACAACACCCAGGCCCAGAGTTCAGGCCCTACGACCGACCCAAATAAAATAAAATAAAAATGCATGCCTGTAATCCCATTACTCCAGAGACTAAGGCAGGAAGATCACAAATTTTAAGCTATCCTGGGCTGCATAGTGAGACCTGTCTCAAACTCCAACCTCCACAAGACTCCCTATCTTTAAAAAAGCAAAAGAATGCCAGCGCTGGCAGCTCACGCCTTTAATCCAGGCTGAGATCTGAGGATCATGGTTCAAAGCCAGCCCGGGCAGGAAAGTCCGTGAGACTCTTATCTCCAATAAACCACTAGAAAACCCGAAGTGGCGAAGTGGCGTTGTGGCTCAAGTGGCAGAGCGCTAGCCTTGAGCTAAAGAGCTGAGGGACAGTGCCCAGGCCCAGAGTTCAAGCCCTAACTGACAAAAAAAGAAAAAGTACACAAGGGTTAGAGATTTCCATCAAGGTCTGTGAAGACCAACAGTATGAATTATCTAATGAGGAGAATAGCAGTTCCAACATGGCCTGTCATTGAAATCTGAGAGACTCTCATCTCCAATTAACCAAGAGAAATGCTTACTGGAGGTGTGGCTCAATGATAGAGCTCCAACCGTGAGCAAGGATGCCAAGCAAGAGCAAAAGGTCCTGTGTTCGTTCAAGCCTCAATTTTGGCATGCATATACAAAAAAAAAAAATTCAACTTATAACTCCAGGCTGTACAAATCAAGCCTCTATCTGAATTTTTTCCACAAGATCAAAAGTTGACTGGATTGCAAAGAAGGTAACTGTAAGCGTTGCCAAAAGGAGATAAGCACAGGGCTCAGGCAGAAGAGAATTTATTGGGAGAGAAAACAAACTTCCAGCTTGCACCAGATGGAGGTATGCAGAGAGCAAGAACTAATGGCAGGAGATTATATAGGGAAAGGTAGGGAGGAGGTGGTTTCTGGCAAGGCTAAGTGCCATTGTCCTTCAAGAAGAGGAAGGGGGAGAGGACTATTTTCCTGGCAGAGTTAACAGTAGCCATCATATTTGCTGCCCAATTAACTGATTATTAAATGTGAAACACAAAATGAATTTTTTCTTTCCAATTAGCATAGGCTGGAGGTGGATACATTTCCATGACTTACTTCTAACCTATTATCCTAAAGATTTTCTTATTCCAGTTTTCCTTCTTTTCTCTCTTTTTCTTTCTTTCTCTCTTTTTTTCTCTTTCTTTCTTTTTGTGCCTATCCTTGAACTCAGGACCCTGGTGCTGTCCCTGAGTTTCTTTTGCTCAAGGAAACCTGGGTAGACAAATCTGAGAGACTTTTATCTCCTTTTAACCAGCAAGAAGCCTGAAAGTAGAGGTGTGACTCAAGTAATAAAGCTCAAACCTCATGTAAAAAAGTTTAACAAGAGTATGAGACTGAGTTCAACTTCTAGTATTGGCCTATACAAAAAGAAAAAAGGAAAAAAAAAAAGAATTAAGTGGAAGAAATGTTAGATAAAATTAAAATTCTGTGATAGGTTCTCTGGAGTTATATACAATTCAAGAATAAAAGGAAAGAGGGGCTGGGAAGATGGCTCAGTGGTGAAGTGCTTGCCTTGTATGCTTGAGGCCCTGGGTTCCATTCCTCAGTACCACAGAAGCAGAAAAGGCCGGAAGTGGTGCTGTGGCTCAAGTGGTAGAGTGCTAGCCTTGAGCTGAAGAGCTGAGGGACAGCGCCCAGGCCCACAGTTCAGGCCCCATGAGCGACCAAAAAAAAAAAAATTGAGGGTTTTGGGGGTTCTTTTTTGGGTGGGGAAGTAGAGTTCTGGGGTTTGAACTCAGGGCCTGGGAGCTGTCTCAGAATTTTTGGGTTTTGTCCATTGTAGGGCTTGAACTTAGGGCCTGAGTTCTATCCCTGAGCTCTTTTGCCCAAGGCTAGGGCTCTACTACATTAAGCCATAGTGCCTTTTGTTAGGTTTTTAAGAACTGCACCACCCACGTGTATTCAGGTAAGGGGTAGGTTTATTCAGTAGACCTGCTGGGACCAGGCAAGGTTGGCACTCCACGCGGCTGGCAAAGGCCTGGGAATGAGAGAGAGCTAGGAAAGAGAGGAAAGAGCTAGAAAAGAACAGAGAGAGCAGAGAGAGCTAAAAAGAGCAGAGAGAGAGATAGAAAAGAGCAGCAGAGAGAGCTAGAAAAGAACAGAGAGCGAGCCTGGGGCTGCGCTAGGCCTTATGTAGGGGATGGGCGGAGAAAGGTGTGGCCACATCAAATTCAGATGTGACCTCAACAGATGCAGATGTGACCTCTTCCAGGTGTCCCAGTTGCCTAGGTAACGCAGGTACTGGGTGGAGACCTTGCTGCGAGGAGGGTGGAGTTTGCTGGCCATCCAGGAGCAGACCTTACACCTTTCCAGTTTTTGAGTGGCTAATCGAAGAGTCTCATGGAGACTTATATACCTGGGCTGGCTTCACACTGCAAACGTCAGATCTCAGCCTCCTGAGTAGCTAGGATTACAGACTAGCACTCTACCATTTACGCTGTAACTCCTCTTCTTCCAGCTTTAGTCTCAGAGACTTTCCTGCTCATCCTGGCTTTGATCTGTGATCCTCAGATCTCATCCTCCAAAGTAGCTAAGCTTACAGGCATGAGCCACTGGTACCTGGCTGAACTTTTTATTCTTATTGACTGATATTTTAAAGCTAACAGACCTTAACTTTTAGACTATGTTTAGGTTTACAATAAAACTAAGCAGAAAGTATGAAATTGCCATATTTGCCCTCCATTGACATAAATATGCTCTCTAGGAACCATTGGAGTCATAAAAATAGACACGAAAATAAAGAATTGTTTCAGCAAGACAAAATTTATTTCAGCAGAAGGGTGTGGTATCAGCCAAAAATCTGGCAGGCAAGCACACAGCCGGCAGGGGGGCTGCCCCCACAAATTTACCCCTAATGCAGCAGGCTCTGCTTCTTTGCTCTGATTGGCTGAGATCTAGATTACAATCTGCTTATGACTGGCTAGTTTGAATAGGGTAAAATTTATTTACATAAGGTCACTTTGAAATGAGGTAAGCAGTACCCAAGTAATCTTTTTTTTTTAATTTAATTTAATTTTATTTGAAAACATACTGTACAGAGGGGTTACAATTACATGGGCAGGATAATGCGTACATTTTTTACCAAGCATTGCAGCCTCCTCCTTTGTTTACCCTTCACCTCCCTTCCCAGCCTCCCCCCTCCCCCCACCCAATCCTTCCCCCGCCCCCACACCGACATTGTAAAGCTCTCGTTTTTGACATGACATTTTGTACTTCTCATTGTTGCAACAGGTCCACCTGAATCCTTAAACGACTTGTTTGTCCCCATCTCCTCCACAAGTTATACTGACATCAAATATAGTGAAAGCGGGGGTTACACTGTGGGGGAGGGACATACAAAGCAACAAAGAAATAATCTTATAAATGCGTTAGAAACACATGCATGAGAGAAAAAAAACATTAAAATACATATTTAAGGGTTCGTTTTCCTAACATCACATTATCTGACCTTTTCTGCTTGACTCATACATATACTAGATATTGCAAATAAGGGAAACCATGGGACCTATGTTTCTTTGGGCCTGGCTTACTTCACTTAATATAATTTTTTCCAAGCCTTTCCATTTCCTAACAAATGGGGAAATGTCATTCTTTCTGATGGAGGCATAGAATTCCATTGTGTATATATACCACATTTTCTTGATCCATTCATCTACTGAGGGGCATTTGGGTTGGTTCCATATCTTAGCTATGGTAAATAATGCTGCAATAAACATAGTTGTGCTGGTAGCTTTAGTGTGGTCTTGTTTGTAAACATTTGGGTAAATGCCCAAAAGTGGGATTGCTGGGTCATAGGGGAGTTCTATGTGAAGTCTTTTGAGGAACCTCCATACTGCTTTCCAAAGTGGTTGAACAAGTTTACATTCCCACCAACAATGAAGTAAGGTTCCTTTCTGTCCACATCCCCTCCAGCATCTGTTGTTGTTAGAGTTCTTGATTTTTGCAGTTCTAACTGGAGTGAGGTGATATCTCAATGTTGTTTTGATTTGCATTTCTTTTATGGCTAGGGATGTTGAACATTTCTTCATGTGTCTATTGGCCATCCTTCTTTCTTCTTCAGAGAAGTTTCTCTTTCGCCCACTTATTTATTGGGCAGTTGTTTCTTTGAGGATTTGTTGTTGGGGGGTTTAATTTTTTGAGTTCCAAGTATATTTTAGATATGAGACCCTTGTCCGTTGTATGGCTAGTAAAGATCTTCTCCCAATCCGTGGGCTTTTTATTGATCTTGCTAGCTATGTCATTTGCCCTGCAGAAGCTCTGCAACTTTATGCAATCCCATTTGTCCAACCTTTCTTTGATTTGTTGTGTTTCCGGGTCTCTATTCAGAAAATTTCGGCCTGAGCCAAGGAGACCTAGGGTTTCTCCTATTCCATCCTGTAATGTTTTCAGAGTGTCTGCTTTGAGTTCAAGGTCTTTGATCCATTTGGAGTTGATTCTGGTGCAGGGTGATATATAAGGATCTAGCTTTAGTTTTCTACATGTAGTTAACCAGTTTTGCCAGCACCATTTACTGAAGAGGCTGTCTGTCTTCCATTCTATTGTTTTAGCTCCCTTATCGAAGATTAGATGGCTATAGGTCTGTAGGTTCATTTCTGGGTTTTCAATTCTATTCCATTGGTCCTGAGGTCTGTTCTTATGCCAATACCAAGCTGTTTTGATTACTATGGCTTTATAGTAGAGTTTGAAATTTGGTATTGATATTCCTCCAGCAGTGTTCTTTCCGTTGAGGAGCGTTTTTGCTATTTGGGGTCTTTTATTGTTCCATATGAATTTTTGGATTGCCTCTTCTATTTCCTTGAAGAATGAGGGTGGAATTTTGATAGGTATCGCGTTGAATTTGTAGATAGCCTTGGGAAGTATTGCCATTTTCACGATGTTAATCTTTCCAATCCAGGAGCATGGGAGGTTTTGCCATTTTGTAAGTTCTGTGTTGATTTCCTTTTTCAAGACTTTAAAGTTTTCATCATAGAGGTCCTTCACTTCTTTAGTTAATTCCTAGGTATTTTATTTTTTGTGGGGCTATTACAAATGGAGTTGCTTTCCTAATTTCAGCCACACTTTTCTCATTGTTGGCATACAGAAAAGCCATTGATTTTTGGGGGTTAATTTTATAACCTGCTACTTTGCCAAAGTTTTGAATCAGCTTGAGTAATTTGGGAGTGGAGTCTATGGGATTCTTTAAATACAAGATCATGTCATCTGCAAAGAGGGAGAGTTTTATTTCTTCTTTCCCTATTTGGATCCCCTTTATGTCTGCATCTTGTCTTATTGCTGTAGCTAGGCATTCTAATACTAGATTGAAGAGAAGTGGAGAGAGTGGGCATCCTTGTCTTGTTCCTGAGTTAAGAGGAAATCACCCAAGTAATCTTAAAGTACACTAGCACCCTCTGCTATTTCTTGAATAATCTGAGGTGTGCCTTAATTCCATCTTGAAAAGAAACTAGTTTAAGACATAACCTTACATTTCAAAATTCTTCCTTATCCCAAGGCAGTTCCTTTTTTCCTGAACGAGAGCCAAGCCACTAAGCCAAAGGAATTTTTTTTTTTTTTTTTAGGTCCGGTCGTGGTGCCTGAACTCTGGGCTTGGGCGCTGTCCCTCAGCTCTTCAGCTCAAGGCTAGCGCTCTACCACTTGAGCCACAGCGCCACTTCTGGCATTTTTCTTTTTGCTTATATGGTGCTGAGGAATCGAACCCAGGGCCTCATGAATGCAAGGCAAGCGCTCTACCACTGAGCAACTTCCCAGCCCAAGCCAAAGGAATTTTTAAGCAACATTTTGGTAGAAAAGACCATAATCTCCCCCACTGTTAATCTTGTGCCCAGATAAGGATCCCCAAAGACCACCAAGGAGCAGATTCTGATGCAAGTACATGAGATACATCCGAGTCGTTTATTACAGCTGGAGTGGGATTCACAAACCTTCCCTGATACAACAGGTCAGAAATTGTGAGCCCCGATCCTTCCTCTAACAGGGTTTTAGGGACTTCCATGTGCCATTGCAACACTTAACAAATCATATCACACTGTGGGAAAATTATAAAATAATTCACCCTGATGGGTCTTTTCAAGCACTTACCAAGACTTTGGACTTTAACTCTCAGTGCTTCTTTGGGTCCTGGGGAAAGGCCAGCTGCAAGGTGACCTGAGATTCCACCAAGGATCTGAACATTCAGGATTTAGTTCTCAGTCATTCCAAATTAGGAAGGAGGAAAAGAAATTGCAGGCATTCGTTTGAAGAGTTATGGCTAGATAGCAAAGAAACATGAAAGAATTGAAAATTTGCCAAGAGTTGGCAATGAATGTAAATGACAAGATCCAGTCTAATTTGTGGGTAGGCAACATGTGTGGAGATGTTTTTCACATTTCTTAGTCATCTAGAATTAACAAAGAGATGCAATATAGCTCGAGGAATGAATAGGACCAGCTCTTCATACCTCATTATGATTGCCTTATAGCTGTCTATGAAGAACAAAGGATTTTTTCTTTTTGAGACAGGGTCTGGCTATGCAGCCTAGACTAGACGTAAACTCTGGATCCTCTAGCCTCAGCCTCTTGAGTGCTGGGATTATAGGTGTGTACTACCACATCCGACTCCAAAGTATTTTCTTAATAGGCATCCTGTTTTAACCAAAGAGAATCCTGAATGATTATTCAGTTTTTTCTTTAAATTCTAATTCTATTATCTGTATTCTAGCTATAAATTTCAATTCATATTTGAACAGTAACATTAAATAGTAGCATCAGATAGTAACATGTTCTAGGCATGGTGATGTATGTCTGAAATTCCAGCACCCAACTGATGGGGTCAGGGGAATCTAGTCCAAGGCCAACCTGGGCTACACACACACACACACACACACACACACACACACACACAGACACACACACACACACACACACACACACACACGTACATTGCATAAATGTAAAGTCATTCTGTTTGGGTGTTTGTACTAGAGATGGAATAACTTTGGTTAAATTTATTTTATTTTATTTTATTTTGGCCAGTCCTGGGGCTTGAACTCAGGGCCTGGGCACTGTCCTTGAGCCACAGTGCCACTTGTGGCTTTTTCTGTGTATGTGGTACTGAGGAATTGAACCCAGGGCATCATGCATGCTAGGCAAGCACTCTACCACAAAGCCACATCCTCAGCCTAAAACTCTGGCTTTACAAAATGGAGTGAGTCAAAATTTAGGCACATCTTACAAGTTACTGCTGTTACACCCATCCTAGAGAAACTCAGCAAACCCAGCCTGTTCTCTTCAAGTAACATGTTTATGGGAAACAAAACTATCCCCAGGGAACCTCCCTACAGACCACCTACCAGACAACTATCTATTGACCAGTGAAGGCAACCTTAACACCTTCTCCTGAAATCCTCCCAAAATAAGGAAATAATTAGTCAACTAGGACTGTTTAATAATGATTCCCACTGTCTCAAGTTCCCAGTCTCCTCACCACTATACTTCAAAGATGGCTGAAGATGTATTAAAGTTTTGGTCTTCTTATTGCTGTCATGTAATAAATCTTGTTCTTCACTATGTTTCTTTTTTTGTGTATATGGGCAAGTAGCCAGATCTGACATGTGGAACTCCTGGAGGTTTTCCCTGGGATCTAAAAATTCTGATTTTACTCTGTGTGTGTGTGTGTGTGTGTGTGTGTGTGCGCGTGCGCACATACGAGTGCACTCAGCAATCCTGAGGCTTGAATTCAGGGCTTGGGCTCTGTATTTGAGCTTTTGTTCTCAAGGCTAATGCTCCAACACTTGAGCCACAGCTCTACTTCTGGATTTTTGGTGTTTAATTGGAGCTAAAGAGTCTCAGCAGCTTTTCTATCCAGAGTTGGTTTGGGGTCACGATTCTCAGACCTCAGCCTCCTGAGTAGCTAGGATTACCCATGTGATCCATTGGTGCCCAGCTGGTTTTATTTTCTTTCCCACCTCCAAGGCTAGAAACTATGCAAGCCAGAGAGCAGGTTAGATTTTCCCAAAAGAGCTTTATAGGCATGGCACTAGCATCATAAAATTAGATTCTAAAAAATAAGTCTAAAAGTTATTTACTTAAATTACTTTTTATTCTATAACTGTTGTTCACAAATATGATGCTTCAAAAACTGTTTTGGGGTTTTGTTGTTTTTTTTTTTTTTTTTTTGAGCCAGGATCTGGTTAGTTTAGTCTGACCTTGAACTTAAAACTCTCTTGCCTCAGCCTGCTGAGTAGAGGGATTATAAGTATATATCACCAGGCCTGGTTTAAAAAATATGTGTTTGTTTATGCTTGCTGTGCTGGGGATCCTACCCAAGGCTTTGTGAATGCCAGGGAAGTACTCTACCACTGTGCCCTGAAGCTGTACTTTATAATAGGATTTGTGTTCATAAGCCAATCACAAAAATATCATGCTCTAATAAGCATACCTCATTTTCAAACCATACTAACAGAAAAATATATGTGGAGCATCAGTACACTAAAGTACATACTAATAAGTTCTATAAAACCTATCTCTTCAAAAGAGTCCACAGATCAAATTAGATTCGAATACTTTAATACATATTCCTCCTAGAAAGGTACAATGAACTTTGCACATTAAATGATCTAGAAGACTCAATATAGAACATCTTTCTTTTTTATTTTCTGTTGGTACTAGGGCTTGAACTCAGGGTCTTGAGCTCTTACTCAGATTTATTATTTACAGCTGGTACTCTACCCCTTGAGTCACACCTCCAACCTTGGTTTTCACTGGTTATTTTGGAGATAGACTCTCAAGCACTTTTCTGTCTTCAAACTGCCCTCCTCCATCTCTCAGGATCCTGAGTAGCTAGGATTATAGGCATGAGTCACTGAGTCCCTAGACACCCAATGGAGTTTTCTCATTCTATTTAGCACACTGTTCTTTCACATGTATTTTCTGTCATAACAATGATAATTATCCTGCTCAACCAGATTTTAATAAATAAACATAATGTCTGGGACCATGAATCCAGACAGTAACTAGGATGCTAAGGATGTCCAAGGAATGATGAGGTTGGGATGGGAAAGAATGTGGAACTTGGACTCACATACATGTTTTTAAAATCCAAGTTCAAAAAACAAACAAAGATCAAAGTTCAAGGGGAGCCTGGACAAAAATTTGAGACCCTCATCTCAATAAACAAATGGTAAACAAAGGCAAAAGTGGTAATACCAGTTGTGAAGAAGGAATAGCTATGTCTATTGCTGTCTAAGACCAACGCTAAGCAAAAGCACTAATTTTGTTTTTTTGAACTCAGGTCCTGGGCGTGTCCCTGTGCTCAAGGCTAGCACAACACCACTTGAGCGACAGTGCCACTTCCAGCTTTTTCTGAGTAGTTTATTGGAGATAAGAGTCTCAAGGACTTTCCTGCCTCGACTGGCTTTGAAGCACAATCCTCAGAACTCAGCCCTCTGAGTAGACAGGATTACAGGAGTAAGCCACCAGCACCAGGCTCATATCTCTTTCTTACTGTTAATGACTTCACCGAGATAAAAGAAAGCAGCTAGACGATAAATGTTTGAAAAATCTTTCATATAGAAAAGGAACTAGACTACCAAAAGTCCATTCTGAAGGTGGAGAGAAAACTGGTGGGTTTAGAATTTGCTAACTCTTAAAATATGATACCTTGGCCTTTGCAGAACTTCAGAAGCTGAAAGATCTCTAAGACCTTCTCTGATGAAGCAGCTCATAAACTTGCATTCCAGGGGTGCCCTCCTTCTCCTCCCAGGAAAAGAGCATGCTGATCCTCAAAGACACAGAGACGCCAAAAAGAATCTCAACAAACAGGCTTGCTAAGTTCTCCTAGCTTTTTACTATTAGGTCATCATCCAATCACACCTCTGAATCACTGTCCACTCTTCATCGGGGAAGTGGGGGTTGGGTCTTTCTTTGTCTGAAAGTTCTGATGTCATAGAAAAGTGGTAGTAAATAAATTTGCATGTTTTTCTTTCTTTCTTTCTTATTTTTGGGTCCGGTCGTGGGGCTTGAACTCTGGGCCTGGGCGCTGTCCCTCAGCTCTTCAGCTCAAGGCTAGCACTCTACCACTTGAGCCACAGCACCACTTCCAGCTCTTTGCTTTTTGCTTATGTGGTGCTGAGGAATTGAACCCAGGGCCTCATGCATGCAAGGCAAGCACTCTACCACTGAGCCACCTTCTCAGCCCACATGTTTTTCTTTGATTAACCTATCTTTTGTTAGAGGTACCTCAGCCCTCAACAAAAATATTGAGTGAAAAAAATACTGCCTTTTGTCCTCTTCAGAACCAATGGGCAGAAGCTGTAAAAATGAATTTTTACCCATGCGAAAATGTGCTTTATAATACTTAAGCAAAGAGTGAAAATGCTGCCAAATGAAACACTGAGTATCATGGACCCCCCCTCCCCCCTTAAATGGCTGGAGATTGATATGGTGAATAGTTTAAGTTAGAATCATGCAATGGTGGAAGATCCCTTCAAATCCAGAGTTGTCTCTTTCCACACATATCTCATCTCAGTGGTCCATGCCTATAAAAGTAAATCAACACTAAACTTTCATCTGTGAAGCTCCTATCTTTCTCTCAGGTTGGGAGAGAGACTACCTCTTGGCTGTATAATGACTATAAATGTGAGGGGAGATTTGATGAGTCAATCAAACCATTTATTTCTTGTGTTGGAACCACGCCATTTCTTCCTTTCCCCATTTTGGTATTATATACTCAAAGGCTATTCTTTTACTTCTCAATCTCCAACATGGTATTGCATGCTTAGGACATATTCCTTTTCCTTGAGCTTCTGCTCACCTCGTTCCTCTATTTCTTTTTAAATACCATCCCCAACAAAATAGATGTTAAATAGCACACAAAAAATACTAAAATTGACAGCTGGGAATGTGGCTTAGTGGTAGAGTACTTGCCTACCGTGCATGAAAGCCTGGGTTTGATTCCTCAGTTAAACATAAACAGAGAAAATGTCATACTTGGTGCTGTGGCTCAAGTGATAGAGTGCTAGTCAAGTTCAACCCCCAGGACTGGCAAAAAAAAAAAATAAGTAGGTCTGGGAAGATGGCTCAGTGGTAGAGTGCTTACCTTGCATGCATGAGGCCCTGGGCTCGATTCCTCAGCACCACATAAGCAGAAAAAGCCGGGAGTGGCACTGTGGCTCAAGTGGTAGAGTGCTAGCCTTGAGCTGAAGAGCTGAAGGACCGTGCCCAGGCCCAGTGTTCAGGTGCCACGACCGACCTAAAAAAATAAAAAAATAAATAGACTAAAATTCTGCTAAGAAAGATGAATCCTAGAAGAGATTAAACCTTAATGTTTGTGATAACAAAGATTTGGACAAGGCAAATGAAGCATTCACCCAAGTCTATGTTATTAAATCAACTGTACCTCATCGAGTTTGAAGCAGTTTGTTAATTTATGGTGCTGAGGATCAAATTCAGGTCTATGAACAGGAAAGACAAGTGCTCCACCACTGGGCCACATCCCTGAGCCTAGAGTAATTCTGTTTTGTGACCTGCTTCAGGAGAAGATGAGATGATCTAAGGAAATTTTCTGCTTTTGTCAGTTTCCAAATGCCAACATATCATACTTTGGAGTCCTAAATCTCACTACTTTTTTTCCTACCATTTGAACAGGATTGTAGTAGTCTATTTTCTCTTCTATATGCAAAGGTTTTCAAATGTTATCTATCTTCTTCCAGCTCTCTATGTAAACACTTAGGTGACTATGCCAGACATTTCCTATTCCTCTACATCCTACCTCTGGGACCCAACCCCACAGACCTACCTCTAGGAAGTACTTCAATAGATGCTATTGCCTTTTGGCTTCCTGTTGGGGTTGGCCAGTGGAAATCATTGGCCAGGATTGGACAAAGGGGCAAAATGAAGTTGGGGTGTTATTCTACTACCAGAGGCTAAATGTCTCCTTCACAGATGATCTTAGTTCCTGTAGGGTGGCCCTCTCCACACAGTCCCTCTTGGTCTCCATTTCTAGGACCAATTCTACCCTGTTCTGGAAGGGTTTTAAGACAAGAGTATGCCATGTGGTTTTGAAGCATGATAAATAGATGAAGAGACAGATCAATTATATCATTTTAAACAAATATTAAGAGGGCCAGACTCAAAAGTTAGAAGCAGGAAGTAAACTGAAAAAGCAAATGATGGGCTGGGAATGTGGCTTAGAGGTAGAGTGCTTGCCTAGCATGCACGAACCCCTGGGTTCAATTCCTCAGTACCAAATCCACAGAAAACGCCGGAAGTGGCACTGCGGCTTAAGCAGTAGAGTGCTAGCCTTGAGCAAAAGCTTAGGGACAGTGCCCAGGCCTAGAATTCAACCCCCAAGACTGGTTAAAAAAAAAAAAAAAGCAAATGAATTCCTGTCAAACCATACCTCTTGGGTTTTTGTTTGTTTGTTTTTGTTTTTATCTATTATTTTGGGTTAGGAAGAGGGGTGGGTCTAACTCATGGCCTATGAGCCATCATCCTTCAGCTTTTTTCTCCAGGCTGGTGAGCTCTTTTTTAAAGTTAAGTAACAGGATTAGGAGATATAGAAGAAGCTATCTAAAACTACCTTGTCCTTTAAAATGTAGGAAAGGTTATCTAAATCTATCTTTGCCTTTGAAATAGAAGTTTCGCAAACACTTTTGACCAAACAGATTCTCATAGAATGAAAGGACACATCATGTAAAAGGGAGTTACCTGAGTTTAGGTAGGCCTCATCCATCCTACTTACACAGAGCCTTTTTTTATTTTATTAAGTCACTAGATGTTGTAACCACTCCCCCAACTAAGAAAGAATAAAGACAGCAAATAACAGCTGCCATTTGAATTTTGAATTCCCATTTCCTGCATGAGAAACAGGAAATGTTTCTATTTTGCCCCACTTTAACACTGTTATACTAAATTCTTGTTAAAACTTTAACCTTGTTATACTCTCCTTTAAAAAAAAAAGTCTCTTTATAAAGGTGATATACAGAGGGGTTATAGTTAGAGACTCTCCTTTTTGTGAGACACCCTGAGATGTTTTTCCCAAGTGGTCTCAGGGACCTGGATTTTGTGTGGCAACTATGAAGTTGAGTGAAGCCTTCATCCATACTCCAGGGACACACACACACACACACACACACACACACACACACACACACACACACACACACACACACACACACACACACACACACACACACACACACACACACACACACACACACACACACACACACACACACACACACACACACACACACACACACACACACAGCTTTGTTCCTAGTTCCTTCATGTAATGTACAGCACTCTGTTCTCACATCAGAACTTTGACTAACACAACTTTTTCTCATGTGTGCTATCAAGTGTTTGGGCAATGGCTGTCACTCAGCTTGTACTTGCACTGTCCCTGAGTCTCTCTGTGATCAAGGCTAATGTGCTATCACTTGAGCCACAGCTCCACTTCTGACAATTTTCTGAGTATTTTACTGGAGATAAGAATCTCATGGACGGGCTGGGAAGGTGGCTCAGTGGTAGAGCGCTTGCCTTGCATGCCTGAGGCCCTGGGTTCGATTCCTCAGCACCACATAAGCAAAACGAAAAAAAAAAAGCCGGAAGTGGCACTATGGCTCAAGTGGTAGAGTGCTAGCCTTGAGCTGAAGAGCTGAGGGACAGCGCCCAGGCCCAGAGTTCAGGTCCCACGACCGGACCAAAAATTAAAAAAAAAAGAATCTCATGGACTTTCCTGCCTGGACTGGCTTCAAAATGTGATTCTCAGATCTCAGCCTTCTGAGTAGCTAGGATTACAGGCCTGAGACATGGGCACCCAGCTGGTCCAGTAGTTTTCAAAGTTAAGAGTACATAAGAATCATCCCAGTCAGGGGTGATGTCATATGCCTGAAATTCCAGCTCTTGAAAGGCAGAGGCAGGTGAATGGCATTAAGTTCTAGGCAAATTGGGGCTACATATGGAGATCCTATCTTGAAAGTGGGAAAGAAAGAAGAAAGGAAGGAAGGAAGGAAGGAAAGAAGGAATGAAGGAAGTTACACCAGAAGTTTGTATAAGCTTGTTATAAATACATTTCTGATGGTTCTCCCTCCAAAGATGTTTTCATTCAGATGTGACCTAAGAGTTGCATGTTAAATTCTCCAGAGAATTCTGATACAGATCATAAGTATTATCTATAGTTGCAAAATAAATTACCCAAATTTAGTTGCTTAAAAGAAGAAACATTTACTATCTTGAACATCAAGAATTTTGTAGTGACTAGGCTGGGTGGCGCTGCCTCAGTCTTTCAAGAGATTGTGGTTAAGCTGTTCCCAGAGGCTAAATTTATCCCAAGCCTCTACAGGGCTGAGGAGTCTCACTTCCAAGTCCAAGCTTGTTGCCAGAGGCTTTAGTCTTTTAGTCTGCACATGACCTTTCCATAGGGTACTCATAATGAGACAATAAACTTCCTTCAGCTTGAGCAACCAAAGATTAGGGAGAAGAGAGAGGAGGGAAGGAGGGAGAGGAGAGAGGGGGATGGGGAGGAGGGAGACAGAGAGAGAGAGAGAGAGAGAGAGAGAGAAAGAGAAAGAGAAAGAGAAAGAGAGCCCAAGCGAGCGAGCTCAGACTAAGATCTACTTCCTCGGCAAAAATGGAATAGGCAGTCCAGTGAGGAAACAAAGAGGTTTTGAGGTAGGAGGGAGAAAAGAGAACTGAGAAAAGAGTACAGAAAGGTTATACTAAAGAGGGGGGGAGGATTGGGGGGGGCAGGGGGGGGGGGAGACTGGGAAGGGATGTGAAGGGTAAACAAAGGAGGAGGCTGCAATGCTTGATAAGAAATGTACTCATCTTGCCCATGTAATTGTAACCCCTCTGTACAGTATGTTCACAATTTAAAAAAATAAATAAAATAAAAATAAAAAAGGTTATACTAAAGAGTACCCCATGGGCTGGGAAGGTGGCTCAGTGGTAGAGCGCTTGCCTTGCATGCATGAGGCCCTGGGTTCGATTCCTCAGCACCACATAAGCAAAAAGAAAAAAAAAAAGCTGGAAATGGCGCTGTGGCTCAAGTGGTAGAGCGTTAGCCTTGAGCTGAAGAGCTGAGGGACAGCGCCCAGGCCCAGAGTTCAGGCCCCATGACCGGATCTAAAAAAAAAAAAAGAAGAAAAAAGAGTACCCCAGAAAACTACCTGTAGCAGGTGCTCATGACTCCCACCTACAATCCTAACAACTCAGGAGGCTGAGACCTGGAGGATCAAATTTCAAGTCCAACCTAGGCAGAAAAGTCTTCAAGACTCCAAACTAATCAGCAAGATGCCAGACTGGAGTTGTGGCTCAAGTGGCAGAGCAACAACAGAACTGTAAGGTCCTCTCCTGGATGGCTAGCAGACTCCACCCTCCTCGCAGCAAAGTCTCCACCCAGTACCTGCGTTACCTAGGCAACTGGGACACCTGGAAGAGGTCACATCTGCATCCGCTGAGGTCACATCTGAATTTGATGTGGCCACACCTTTCCCTGCCCATCCCCTACATAAGGCCTAGCCCAGGCCCAGACTCTCTCTTTTCTCTCTCTGTTCGTTTCTAGCTCTTGCTCTTGCTCTTCTAGCTCTCTTGTTCTTGCTCTTCTTTTCTAGCTCTCTCTGCTCTCTCTCTGCTCTAGCTCTTTCCTCTCTCTTTCCCAGCCACGTGGAGTGCCAACCTTGCCTGGTCCCAGCAGGTCTACTGGATAAACCTACCCCTTACCTGAATACCACGTGAGTGCTACTGTTCTTAACCCTCTCTCTGCTCTTTTCTAGCTCTTTCCTCTCTTTCCCAGCTCTCTCTCATTGCCAGGCCTTTCAAAACCACGTGGAGTGCCAACCTTGCCTGGTCCCAGCAGGTCTACTGAATAAACCTACCCCTTACCTGAAAACCACGTGAGTGCTACTGTTCTTACCCCTCTCTGCTCTTTTCTAGCTCTTTCCTCTCTTTCCCAGCTCTCTCTCATTGCCAGGCCTTTCAAAACCACGTGGAGTGCCAACCTTGCCTGGTCCCAGCAGGTCTACTGAATAAACCTACCCCTTACCTGAAAACCACGTGCGTGCTGGTGCTGTTCTTACTCGGTTACCTCTTTTTAAAAACCTAACAAGAACAACTAGGAGACACTGAGTTTAAACC